TTTGGGTTATGCTTGATATTTTTATTTATGCCATTAATTAGGGTGCCTAAGTTTGCCCTTGTTTTTTCTTTGATGAACTTTATAGATTTAGATTTCACATTTAGGGCTTTGATCCATCTAGAGTTAGTTTCTGTGTACAGTGTGAGGTATGGATCTTGTTTCATTTTTCTGCAAATGGATATCCAATTTCGCCAGCACCATTTATTAAAGAGACCATCTCTTCCCCATTTAATAGATTTTAGCTTTTTGTCAAAGATCAGCTGACCCTAGGTGGATGGATCTATTTCTGGGTTCTCAAATCTGTTTCACTGGTCTATGTGTCTGTTGTTGTACCAATACCAAGCTGTTTTGACTACTGTGGCTGTGTAGTAGGTTTTAATATTTGGAAGTGTCAGATCTCCTACATTTTTGTTCTTCTATGAAAGAAGCACTTTGCTTATCTGAGGTCTGTATCCTTTCTATATAAAATTAATGATTGGTTTTTCATGTCTTGAAGAATTTGATGAAATCTGGATTGGGATTGTGTTGAATATATAGATTGCTTTGGGTAGTATTGACATTTTTACAAAGTTGAATTTCCTATCCATGAGCAAGATATGTTCATCCATTTATCTAGATCTCTTATAGTTTCTTGAAGTAGTGTTTTATACCTTTCTTTGTATAGGTCTTTTGTATTCCTGGCAAGATTTATTCCTAACTTCTTATCTTTTTGTTTCTATTGTAAATGCTATTGATTTCCTTATTTCATTTTCAGAGACCTCTTTGCTGACATAGCAAAGAATCCAGCTGAGTTTTGTATGTTGATCTTGTATCCTGCCACTATGCTAAATCTTTCAATAAGTTCCAGTAGTTTCCTTGCTCAGTCTCTTGGATTTTCTATATGTAGGATCATATCAACTGCAAATAGGGATAGTTTTACTTCTTCATTACTAATTTGAATGCATTTGATTTGTCTTTCTTGCCTTATTGCCCTGGCTAGAACTTCTGATACAATGTTGAAAGTAAGTGGAGGTACAGGGCAACCTTGTCTGGTTCCTGTTTGCCAAAGGAATGGCTTCAGTTTCTTTCCATTGAGAATAATGTTGGCTGTTGGTTTTGCATAAACAAACAAAAACCCAAGCTCATTGCCATCAAGTTGGTTCCCACCCATAGTGACCCGCTTTGAGTTTCCGAGGCAGTAAATCTTCATGGAAATAGATTGCCCAATCTTCCTTCTGAGGAGTGTCTGGTTAGTTTGAACCACTAACCTTTTGGTTAGCAGTCAAATGCCTTAGACAATATGTTACCAGAGCTCCTTATGCTACCAGAACATGTTGTTGTTATTGTTGTGTGCCGTCGAGTTGGACCTGACTCAGCGACCCCTCCTTGGGTTGCCAAGACAGTATCACTACAGAAATAGATTGCCCAACCTTCCTTCTGAGGAATGGCTGGTGGATTTGAACCACC